TATATATTTAAAATATATTTAGTTAAATTTAATATATAATTGATGTATTCAAACATAATATTTATTTATATAATATTTTTTTTAAAATTTTTAGTTATATATAATAAATATGTAACTTGTGTATAGCATATGCTAAAAGATTACTACCATTGATTTTAATTATAAGAAATCAATTTGAGTTTTCTTTGGTCCTATTTATAAACAATGAGTCATTAATTTTTAAAGTTACTCAAAATATAAGTTTTACACCCTTAATTAATTACTAATTCTATTTTTTTTATATTTATTTATAACTAAAATTAAATATAATAACAACTTAAAATAAAATATATCTTTAAAATAATATTAAAATTTATGAATAATTAATTAAAAACAACCAACTTAATTATTTTTGTTAATATTAATAATTTATCCTATATTATTTATAATCATTAATTAGGATCATAATAATAATTAATAAATAATTATATCATTTTAAATATATAGTAAAAAAATTATTTTTTTATGTCTATTTTATCTACTCCTTTTGTTTCTAATTAAATGTTGTTTTTAAATATCTTTATTTATATTTTCTACTCTCTCTTCTTTAATAACCATAATCTCCTTAAAATAAAATCATCACTTAAAATATAAACACAATAATTTAAACCCAACCAATTCTCTTTTTATTATAACTACTATAATACATTTATTAAACTAATTTTATTTTATTTTAATTTTTATTTAAATAAAATATATAGAAGTATAAAGTATTACAAATTCACTAATGTCAAATATTTGATAAAAGAGATTAAATTTTTAAATAAATTTTTATATCTCGATTGGATAATTTTTAACTCAATTAAAATATATTATGAATTCTCTATAAAAGAGGATTTGAAAAGAAAAACAATATTATATTTTTTTCTTATATAGATAGCATGTATCTTTTGCTAAAGAGAAATCTACTTAGATTGGTAGCATCATTAAATTGGTATTTAAGAGGTTGCATACTTAAGATTCTATAAATAACAACATATTAAATAAAAAATATTTAATATTTAAAAATATAAGTATTTTCTATATAAGAGAAGTGTTGTATAACTTAAAAAGAAACAGCCTAAGTGGGCCCCATGAAAAGGCAAGGAAGCAAGATCAATGGGTCCACTCCACTCCCTGAAATGAAATGGAACAAACAACCTAAGATGACACTTTCTACCAAAACTGTCTCTTAGCTACTTTTAGAACTAAAAAAAATAATTTAGAGAGAGAAAGAGCATCTAAGACTACAAGTACAACTTGGGTTGAGAGAGACTCCACAGTTCATCGTGAGAGTCGGTCTAGGAACAAAATGAGGAGAGTAGAGCGAGGATTTTGCCGATTTATTAGTCAATCAATATTATCCTTGCTTTAGATTTCCATGGTTTGAATTTTGAAAAAATATAGGCTTTTCTTTTAGGGGTTCAGTTATTTTGTGTATTTAGTTATGATCTCAGACAAACAACTTGATTTCAGAAAAATCCGTGATCCTTGAGATTCTTTCTCTCTCATCATCTTCACTCTTTGCTGAATATTTGGGTTTGTTCCACAAATTCTACAAATTCCACAATTTCCATACCTATAGAGATTTTTAGGTGATCTTCAAGTAAGTACTTTTAGATTTTGCATTACAGTTCTGGGCTTTAGATATCAAACATTTTACACTCTCTCTCTTAAATCATGATGTGAGGTATCTAGGTTCGCTTAAAAATTTGGTCTTTGAAGAAAGTGTATTACGAGATTGAAACCATAGTTGGGACTTGGGAGAGGATTTGTTTTTTTTGCCATATTTTTATATTAGATTAGATATCTTTGGACTAGATGGAAGATGATACAACAATGCCACAAGAAGATCAAAGAAATTGTGATGGTAGAGGCATTGGGGTTCTTGGTAGATCCTCTTCCAAAAAGTCAAAGCAGAAAAAGGTGCCACAAAGAGGGCTTGGTGTGGCACAGCTTGAAAAGATTAGACTAGAAGAACAACAAAAGAGAGATGCAGTTACAATTTCACCTTCTCCAAGTACTCTGTCACCAACCAAACCATCCTTTATGCCTCTCCCAATGAAGAATTTTCATGACTCCAACCAATCCTCTTCTACAACTCTCTTACCTTGTGAGCCACCATCTGAGTTTAGGTCCCCTTTGTCATTACAACAACAACAACAACAAAACATGGATGCTAAAGTTTCGAGCACTGTTCCATTGGCAAACAGTGTTGGCTTTGAGGCTAGCCGGCCTATTGTTCCTGGACATGGGAATGTTCCCAAGTGGTGGAGCTCCTATCAGTTTGATTCTGAGAAGAACAGCTTTGGAGTGGACCCAGGAATGCG